CAGAAAACATTCTTTAGGCGTAAATCATTATCCAAGTCAATACTGAAATAAAATCCCGAGCACCGTGATTGCATTTCAGAAAAGTAAGACTGTATTGCAAGTGCGTCACCCTCACCAAGTCTTAGCCGTCTCACTTGTTCGATATAGTTCCGACAATCCTTCTCTACGCAAGCCATATTCTCATAGCCACCAGACTCAACGACTACAGAGTTAAAACTTTTATGTAGTGGTATTCCTGCTATATCATTCACTTCGAGCTTCCGTTTCACGTGTACACTCAATTCTCGATTACATCGATACAATCTTGACTTAGTAGGACTTGTCTTATGATTGTGGTCAAGGTGAACCATGTTAATTTTCCAGTATCCGTGAATATCTAAAGATGCAGATATTCGAGCTTTACAACCCGTTTGAATTGTTGGGTGTGGCTTCAAAGAAATGCTTGTATTACCACTTCTTCGTCCCTCCCGACTACATGTGAATGTGACATATCTCAAAACACCATCATCATCCTTCGACGAACTCCTTTTCCTAACTGGAAAACCTACGGTATAAGCATATCTTGCATAAAATGCATACAGTTCTTTTTCATCCTTGAACTGCATACCAACCTCAGGCACGATCAAACCATCTCCTTCTACATTTTCATCTTCCACACTATTGACATTGTCGCAGACATTCTCATTTTCAGAATCCATGAACACAACATCTTCCATATTTGGCAGATCCTACAAAATATAAACCATCACCCAAAAATTATGTTTTTTTTTTGTTTAGCGTAGGAAAAGTAGTTCCACAATAAATTTATATAATAAAAATAAAGCTTAACTCTCTACATTATTCAGATTATTTTATTTTTTTTGGATAAGGTACATTATGCAGATTATGTTAATTATAATTATTAATACATTAACAAACAACAAAATATAAATATATTCATGATATATAAACTACTAAGAACACTGATGTCAAATGAAATTCAAACAAACAATACCTAGAACGTGACTTTCTACTAAGGTAAGACAAATAAATTTAGAACCCTTCTCACCTGGTAGTGGTAATGAACTAAATGGGCAATACCACCAGCCAAGTTTGGGAACGAGCATGTATCGCTGGAAAAAAATTGCAAAATTTTCAGCTCATTTAAACAATAAAATTCCATTCACAAATTCGTACCTTCCTGTGTCATGACCCGGTTTCGGAGATGGGGAAGATGGGCAATAGCGTTCAATGCCGACTTCGTCGACGACACAAGCAACCAGCCAAGTTTGGGAACAATCACGTAATAAATGAAATAGATTTTGGAAAATTTCAGCTCAAAACTCCAACCACATGAACGTACCGTCGTGTGTAATGACCCAATTTCAGAGATGGAGAAGATGGGCAATCGTGTTCAATGCCGGCTTCGTTGCAATCCCGCTCTTTTTTGCCGCCCTCAATTCCTCTGCCTTACTTGTGTGCCTGTGTCAGAAGTCAAGATTTTATAAAATGGTCAGTAAGTGGGTTAAACATTGTAGACCAAATCCCTACCGTCCATTGGTTTTTATTCTCAGCCATACACGTCATTTTGTCAACCACTTTTGTCATCTAACTTGGTACAAGTAGCATTATTGATACAAATAAGTATTTATTTTCTACTTATATCAATCTTCACTTATTTTTGTCATTTTTGCATTCTAAGGACAACGTGCTTGTCTTCTGCGTTTCCAATGCAGGCATGCAGCGAAAGATCCGCTCCGGTTCAAATTCGAATTCGAATTCAAATTCGAAAAACACACTAAAACAACAGCGCCTTTCTCTCAACCACCAATCACAACTTGCCAAGTTAATTACAATTTAAATTTTCTCATTTCTGATTGGTCGTTCACTAAATCACTTGTCACCACATAACACCCCAATTTAAACGGACAGCTCCTGTGGGCCCCATCTCTAACGAATACCCAAACTCAATCAACGGTCCAGATCTTCCTCAATACAAATCAACCCTTTTTCCCCGCCTCTAAAGTATCCATTAAACCCATTCTTCTTCACTTTCTATTTCTACTGAAATCCATGAATTGAGGTTGAATTCAATTTTTGAAACCCTAAAGCGTAAAATTTCGACAGGGTTTTGAAAATTCCTTTTATAACCCAACTTTCCCCCTCAAATTTTGAGTTCTCTTGCCAATGTAATTTTTAGAAAATCCATTTCTAAGAATAGTTGCTTAATTTCAAATTCTGAAAGGTTTTAGTGGGAAATTCCAGTTGGGTTCTTGAAAAATCCTTTTTAAAGCCCTGTTTTTCGATTCAAATTTTCAGTTCTTGCCATTGTTCATAAGTAATAATAATGGCGAGTGCTGCCGGTGGGGGTAGGAGGTCTACGACAGCAACGGCGTCATCACTGGCAAAGCGGCATGCGTCAACATCGTCGGGATCAGAGAATTCTGGGAAGGGAGCTACGGCGGCTGCCGCTTTGTCGTCTCAGCATGCGGCCAAGAAACGACCGGCGCTAGCGAACATCACCAACCAGCGGCATGGTTCTGGTCCCTCCAATCCGGGTCGGAAATCCCTGCCCGAATCATCAAGAATTGTAAGTCCAACTGTTGATCTCTCTAGCGAGTTCGTTTTTATGGTGATCCTGCATGAAGAATAGGCTCTTCAAATCATAGAATGCCTTCTGCAAGGCGATAATAAAAACCTTTTTTGGCTTTTATGCATACATGAATGCACAAGATCATACATCCAAACATCTATTTCATTTTTCTTTTTGTTCACTGATTTTTTTCTCACATTTCCCGTCAAAAATGGGTTTTCGAATTTTTTGAAGCCGAAATTGTAGTTCCATTACGTTAGAAAACTTAGGGATGAATTTTGATTAATCCATTGTTCTGGAGAAGGAATTAATTGTTTGAATCCTGGGTTCTTCTTTAGTATATCTGTAGTATGAGACAGACACACCACATAAACCAAGCTAATTTTGAGGGAAATGTGGGATTAACAGTAATTTCGTTTCTTGTCAATGTTTTCTGCTTAGTTGTGCAAATCTTTGTCCCATTGAGATTTTTAGGAAACCTTACGGATCAAAGGAAAATAAACTCAATAGGCGACTATAAATAGCTTGATTACTTTTATTGGTTGTATTAGTAATGCGTTCCAAACTGTTGGGAGGATGAGCTGAAAGTGCGAATTGTTTAGAGCTTTCATTTGAAGAGAAGTTAGAAAAATGTTCTTGATTGATGCTTGAGCCTTTATAGGTTGGGAAAGTGAATTCGTACAAGGCAATGTCTTTGTTGAACTGTTATTTTCTTCTCTCACCAAATGTAGAGCTTTTTGTTTCTAATTTGGATTACACTTTTGAATTGATTTGTTAAAGAAGTAATATTATAGACTTTCTCAAGTTGAAAATGTTTTGCAACTGAATAGATAAAAATGTGCTGCCAAACAAATTTACTTTTTGTCGTTTTGGCTTCAAACTCGAAAGCTGATCTTCTTCTTCTAGCATTATGCGATTAATTTGAATATTGGTTTAAATTTGTAGGTACCGTGCACTGCCAAAATTGTGAGCGTCAAGAAGGGGTCTTCGACTTCGACTTCAACAAATGCAAGCTTCTCAGTGCCTACTCTGCCTTGTTCCAATGTGAAACCGAGTGTGGTTGTTTCTAGTAAAAATACTGCTTTTTCAAAAAGTAATGCAGTGCTCTCCAGTATTAGTGTTGCGCCTGCACCATGCAGTATGAATGTATCTCCAGATCAATCAGTTGGTCTTTCAATTTCGATCGACGAATCTATGTCTACCTGTGATTCCTTGAATAGTCCAGAGGTTGAATACATAGATAATAATGAAATAACAGCAGTTGATTCCATTGAGCGAAATACATCCAACAAGCTCTGCATCTCAGAGTGCGTGGAAGTAGCAGGTAGTTCATTGTGATCTCTTTACCGTACCTTTTGATTTGTCTTGGTAGTAGGTGTGTACATTTTGATTTTCATGGTTTGTAAATATGTTTCATTACATCGTGCGTGCAGGGAACATATGCAAGCGAGAAATACTTGCAGCATTGGACTCTGATGATATGGTTGTCGATGTTGATGGCAATCTGAAAGACCCGCAGTTATTTGCAACCATTGCTTGTGACATTTACAAGCACCTGCAAGCATCTGAGGTTAAAATTCTATTTATCCATTTAGAAAATTGTTGAAATAGTTGAAATGCTTCACTAGTATTAAAGCATGACGCACATAAATAAAGATCAATATATTATCTCCTTAGCTTTTTTATGTTCAGATTTATCCTAGTCTCATGAGCAATCGGTTACATGTTATTGTGCCAGGTTAGCACGTGAAGACTGTTGCATATATAATGTTGAATGGATAATTTTATCTCAATTATATAGGGCAAAAACTTTTCCTTTACAGTCGTATGCAAATGGAAAAGTTTATTCTTAAAAAGTGTGAATCACTGTAGATTCCAGAAATTTAAATTTTGTAATGTTTGTGATTGGTAATATGTATCAAGAATTTTAAGTGTAATGGGAGTAGCATTGACCATCTATTTCTATTTCTCTCACAATTTCAAGTGTCCGTTCTCAAAAGTTCTGCCTAAAGAAATCTGGAAATCTGGATACTGCTTGACATGGTGTTGTGCAGCGGAAGTACTTTTCTCCATGATAACTTGCTGATTATTTGTTTTATGATGTTCACTGTATTCCCTTGTTTGTGCAATTTAGGCAAAGAAAAGGCCTACTACTGACTTCATGGAAAGAGTCCAAAGAGATATCAATCCCAGCATGCGAGCAATTCTTATTGACTGGCTTGTTGAGGTAACGAGTTTATATCTTAATGTAGAGGACTTAATCTGTCATCTTTCGTAAAGAATTCAACCTTAAGCTCAACATGAATCTTGTGTCTGACAACAACGTTGAACTGCAGGTTGCTGAGGAGTACAGACTTATCCCAGATACACTATATCTAGCTGTCAACTATATAGATCGTTATCTTTCAGGAAACATCATGGATAGGCAAAAGTTGCAATTGCTAGGTGTGGCTTGCATGATGATTGCATCGTAAGATTCGGCATTTTGTCTATTTCCTTTTCCGTTCATATCTGTAACTCTGAATGATTTCTCTCTTATGTCTGTCTACGTACACCCCTCTTTCCCTTTCTTGTTAAGCCCCAAAAAATGCAATCGTTTCTCTCAAATAATTCATAATATGAGTTTGTACTTTGCAGCAAGTATGAAGAGATTTGTGCGCCACAGGTGGAAGAGTTTTGCTACATAACCGACAACACATATTTTAAAGATGAGGTATCTTTTGATTTCCACGAAGTTCAAATATGCTTTTAGCTTTGAACTACAATTAAGCAGTTTAAGACTCCAACAGGTTTTGCAAATGGAATCTGCTGTTCTGAATTACCTGAAGTTTGAAATGACTGCCCCTACTACTAAATGTTTCCTGAGGTGATCATTGGATTTTTATACGTCGAAAGAAGTATTTTAGTTTAAGACATGCTGGGTGTTGACTTTCTTTTCACTTCTTTGTAGGAGATTCGTTCGTGCTGCACAAGATGTCAATGAGGTATCATCTCATTTACATTATATGTAAATAATTACTTAGGAGAGTACTAATCAGTTCTAATTTGCTTATTTCTGGTCATTCGTTATGTTCCAGGCTTCATCCCTGCACTTAGAGTGCTTGGCCAACTACATTGCAGAACTGTCTCTTCTAGACTACAGTATGCTTCGCTTTTTCCCATCCTTGATAGCAGCTTCTTCGATCTTCTTAGCCAGATATATTCTTCTCCCTTCAAAGATGCCCTGGGTATGCTTTTAGAAATGTTGCTTGGTTGCTTAAATTTTTCTATAATCTTTTCTTCTTATTATTTCTAGTTTCTTTGTTAGTAATTCGACTCCTAACGTTAATGCAGAACACTACCCTGCGACATTACACGCTCTATCAGCCTTCTGAGTTACGCGACTGTGTTCTGGCATTACACGGCCTTTGCTGCAATAGCCACAACTCTAGTCTACCTGCAGTCCGGGAGAAATACAGTCAGCATAAGGTCAGCATAGTTTCTTTCGTCCCAATTAATGCTTCTCATACTAGAATGAAAATGTAGAAGACTGGTAGAAAAATAGGATGTCTAAATCCTGGGATACCTTGTCCTGCTAGTCGAAATCCTAAGTAGCACAAGTTAATAATCTTTTCAAGAATGGCAGTGGATATTTTTCACTAAATCTTTTGTGCATGCATAGTAATGCTGACAAGCAAAAGCTCTATAAACTCTTTGAACTAATGCGTTCCTGTTGTGAATCAGTACAAGTTTGTTGCAAAGAAGTACTGCCCTCCATCAATACCCCGAGAATTCTTCGAGAACATAAGCAGCTAGTCTCGAGATCATGTTGCCGTCCCAATGCTCCATTGGATAGACTTAAAACTCACACAGTTCATCTTCTACTGAAACTCCAGAGAATGGAAGACATATGCAGTTTGCTTCCTCATCCTTCTTGATGACGATACGTGCCAAATAAGGCCCGACCTGGAGTGGCGTCGTAATCTTGTTAACATTTGTATGGTTCAACTGGTATGGACTGATTTACATTGTATCATGCAAATTCAATTAGTTTTAGACTTAACCTAGTTGTATAGATGAGTTTTGTTATAATTGGAGTTTGTCCTTGCATTTTGCTATACAATTTCTTGCATAAAAAGACAGTGCCGTAACAAAATATAGCCGTCAGGTACTTCGAATTGACTTGTGTAAAATTGCTTCGAGAGGGTACTTCGAAAACATACATGATAACCGATACCGAACATGGCTTGACATAACAATACTTGCCAGAAAGAAACTACAAAATGTTACAATTTGTATGTTTTCAAGACTATTTCACATTAGCCTTTTTTTTTTTTAATTCCCTATTTTGTTGAAAAATAGAATTAGTAACATTGGTTTTCAGGAGAAAAAGTAAGAAAATATGGTATTTGCTTCCTCATCCTTGTTGATGAAGATACATGCCAAATGAGGTCTGACTGGGGGTGGGGTCGTAATCTTGTTACCATTTATATGGTTTAATTAGTATGAACTGATTTGCTTACCATCATGCAAATTCATTTTAGTCTTAGAGTTAACCTAGTTGTTATATAGATGAGTTTTGTTCTAACTATAATTTGTCAACATATTTTTTTTGTACGATTTCTTGTATAAAAAGACGAAGCCGTAACAAAATTTAGCCACGAGGTAACTCAAATCAAGACTTGTGTAAAATTGCATCGAGAGCACACTTACAGAACATCCATAACAACCAACAGTGAACACGTTGCAACACTACATGTTAGTATGTTATCACATTTACAGTAGATATTATAACTCCTGCTCACTATGGGCAGAAGATCAGATCTGAATATAACAATATCTGCAAGAAAGGAACTACAAAATATACCTTAACACACTATTTATTACAATTTGTGTATATTTTCAAGGTTGTTGCCATATTGGAAAATCTTGGCAATAAATCCTAAAATCAAATTCCTGGCCCTTTGTTATAATTTGTTGAAAATTTCAATAATCACAAGCTCGCTTGAAAAATTAAAAAAAAAAAAAAATCATATTCTACCCTATTTTGGTACTATTTTGTCTTTATTTCAATATTTAATGGATTAAATTAAAGTGATGGTCATCACAGTGACCTCAATAACGTTCGTGATACCATTATAAGGGAATGGTGCCCAATTAATTATAAAATCATGAACTATGCTTTCACTCGGGGATGTGAAATATAATTAGATTCGTTATATCATTCTTTATTTCTCTTTCTTTTTTACACTAAGGGCCCGTTTGATTGCGAAGATGAAATTTGGGTGGAAGGAAAATGAATTTCAAAGAATTAAATTATTTAGAAATTGTTTTATTGAAAATTGTAAATTATTGTGTTTGATTGGTATAATTTTTCAAGTGGAAAATGTTGAAATAAAAGTATTTTTTGGTGTTCGTTTGGTTTTATTTTACATGAAAATTTTCAATTATGGATAAAATTTACTGGTATTGGGGATTGTTTCCATTGCCACAAAAAAAAAAAAAAAGACAATCATCTATCTTTCGGTGTTCATTTGGCTTTTTCTACATAAAAATTGTCAATTAAAGGGAAATATTTTTTACAATATTTCTTAGAATTTGATTTCATTGCCCCAAAAATGGTTTATGTGGCAAGAAACTTGGAAATGAAATTTTGGAGAAAAAATGTTATCAAACAATGCAAAAATGGAAGTTGTAAAATTTTCATCTATCAAACGTACCTGAAGTGAACATAACATGCTCATTCAAGAACTATCGAGTCTCGATCGGGTGAAACCCAAATTTCGTGAGATATGATTGGACGTCACACGATCAATGGTCCGAACCAATGTTTTGATTAAGAAATTTGACCATTGGTGGCATTCAAAAGCAGTTATGGTTTTTTAGTGGTCCCCACATATATAGTTGACCGTTTTCTGATCGTCCAACGTGGGAAGAACAAAATATAGTGTATTTTCCCTTTTTGACAGCTTTCTAATGAAGATGAGAAGTCCTAACTTTCCACAATTGGAGTTTTCAAATTAAAGTAAGGGTTTGTTTGGTTGTATTTATTTTTTATGGAAAATATTATTTTTTCATCCAAGTTCTTATTTTGGATTTGGAGTGTCTGATTACTATTTTTTCCATTGAAATAATTTTTCAACTTTTGAAAATATGTCTAATTTTCCTTCTTTTAAGGAAAATATTTTCTTTGGTGGAGTAGATTTTTATTTTTCCTCAAAATAAGGAAACCATTTTCTTTTTAGGTGATATTTAACATGTCAATTAAACACACTTTTAATGTTATGATTTTAGGCAAAATTATACCGTCGGGCTCCACCCAAAGTGTCGTCCGAATAGCAAGTTGGTCGTCTGCTAGTTTTAATTATGCTTGCACAATTAGTTTCTATGAAATAAATCATTCAAAAATATGTTGAAATTGTCATGTGACTCTAATGTATCTAATTTTATGGAATTGGGTTTCGTTTTCTTAATTAGGATTAATACTTAAAGATTTGAGTCGAAATGTGATTTTATGAGAGTCGCATGATAATTTAGCGAAGTTTTGAGAGTTTTAATCACTGTGAATTATTTGTGCAACTATGATAAAAATTTAGTAATCAACTTAAAATATTTTTAAAGATTGAGGACCAACTTAAAACTCGAATCAATAATGTAATTCTCCGTAAATTTATTTCAATGAATTACTAAAATAATATAGTCTTAAAAGATTTAGTATTTATTTTCATCCTACATACATGCTATGGAATTTTCTAAGTTTTAGTGGATCGTATCTTTATGTACTCGTCGTATTATAAATATGTGATGATAGACTCGAATGTATGATGTTTACGTATATGTACGTGCAAGTGCGTATAACAAAATCTCAAAAGAATAATATTTGTCTTGGTTCTAACACTTAGTCAAGATAAGGGAGAACTCGATTTGTTGTCATAAAAAGTTTATAGATGAAATTCTATTCTTTATGCGTCCTTTCATTTTCATAATAATGGTAAACAAAAATATGCAAAAGTAACTTACTTGAAGTTTGAGAATTTTTTTATTTTTTATATAGGAAAAATAAAAATAAAAATTATAATGTTGTTACTTAATTATAATTTTCTTCATCCACGATCGAGTTTATGAGGAAAAACCCCATACAAAAATAATCACAAATTATTTTGAATAATAGCAATAAAATATAATAATTACTCAGGCGGTATTTTTATATATCGAGTTGAAATATATAATTCAAATACGTGAAACACCAAATTTAATTAATGGACATAGTGAAGATTGTACTTAGAAATAGACAAATAATTAACTTACTGTTTTCATCAATGACGAGGATTTGAAAGCACTGAAAAAAAAAAATAAAAAAAAAATCACTAACGTCCCGTTTGGTCCACATTTCTTAAAATTCATTTTTTTCTCAAACTCATTTTTCATTCTACATTTTATGATACCCACTAATTTTATCATTTTTTTCAACCTAACATTTTATCGATTTTTATCAAAATTCGCTGCAGAATCTGATTTTATAGCAACACTATAAATGACCAAAAATAAATAAAATATTATTTATCATATTGTATAATAGAAAGTAGTAAGTTTCAAGCATGTCTAAGTATTGTGCCTTAGAACTAATTGATTTTGGATGTAAACTCGTTTAATATGACTATGAAATTTTACTTATGCCATATCTATTATTTACTTGAATTACTATTTCAATAAATCAAATTGAGAGAGATCATATATTCAAGTTTTGGTAACTTGTTAATCATAAGAAGTTGTGACTGTAGAAATAAAATTACACATGGTTGAATTTTAAATTATTCGTGATTGTAAGTAATAATGAGTTACTAATATCATTATTACAGGTAAACCAACACGTCTGTCCATTTCTTACTTGTGAAGTGAGCTGATTACACAAGCTAAAATGTAGTGATGTGTAAATGGAAGCATATATGTTTTGTTAAGAGAACAAAATATTGGAGCATTGTTGGAGAGATTTTATATGGATAACCATCTGAATATCAATAGTTAATCTCTAACATTTGATAGTAGAATTGGTTATTCAACGTAAGATCATCTTAGTGTCTTATATGAGGACGGTCAGACCTTATTAATGTCGGATGTTGCTCTATTAAGAGTCGCTAATGCGATATTGTTTGGGTATGTCAAGAATTATATGAAGGTTGTGAACTATCAATAAATAATTCAACACTCTTCGGTAGTAAGACTTTATGTTATACGTTTCATTTGGTTAAGTTAATATTGAAATCCTTGACTAAGGTGAGTATATCAATTGAAAAGTGTCTCGACGTTTATTGATTTAAGAGTGGGATGGAATATATAATCGATCTTCGAGATGACATACTTTCATATAATAATTGATCGGACTATATTGATGAAAGAATTATATTTTTTACGATAAACAATAAGTTTGATTTTATCACATTATGTAATATTTTTCGTCACATGACATTATTAGATATCAATATGGGACGACAAATGTGAATTAAATAATTTAGGTGAATTAATGATATATAAAAATGGACTTTTAATCTATCATATCTTGATTGGATCAAAATAATTATTCACGTCGTCCAACATCGTGATAAAAAATCTACTGGGTCACACACAAAAAGGGGAACTAGAAGAATTAATTAATTGACAAGTGTCGAACATTTGAGACTTAATTAATTAGATCATTTATTAATGAGCTTAAATTAATTGATTGAATTAATTAACTTATGAACCAAATTTAATTAATCTGATTAATTAAAGAGAAAATTTCATAACTAAGAAGATAACTATTACCCATTTCAAAAGCAAGAATACAAGTTTTAAATTTCAAAAATCAGAAATTCATTAAAATTTATTAATAATTTAATTAATTAATAATATATTTTATTAATTAAATATATTAAGGTCATGGATCTATACACTTTGGTCACAGATTCCCAATTTAATTAATCGTATATTATTTTTTGATCACAAATTAAAATTTTTTAATGTCAAAAATTATTTGACGGTCACAATTCAAAAAATTTATAGGTAACAATTTATTCATCGGTCACAAATCAAAAATTTATACGTTGCAATTTATTTATAGGTCACAGATCATAAATACTATAGGTCACAAATTATTAATTTTTTAGGTCACAATTTATCTTATTGGTCACATAATGTCAAAAATTATTTGACAATCACAATTCAAAAATTTTATAGGTCACAATTTGTTCATCGATCACAAATCAAAAATTTATACGTTACAATTTATTTATAGGTCACAGATCATAAATACTATAGGTCACAAATTAATAATTTTTTAGGTCACAATTTATCTTATTGGTCACGTATTTTTTATTGGTCACATATTAACCAATTTAATGGTCAAATTAACAAATTAATCTGTGACCACCACCAAACAATCACTGCCTCCAACACCGCTGCCGGCACTACCATCACCCTACAGCAAACACCACGATCAAAAACAAATTAACACATCCGAGACCACAACCACCTACAGCTCACTATCGCCGTCGCACCCACTGCCACGACCACTGTTGTCTACCATCACAACCACCGTACCACACAACACGACCACCGGCACAACCAAAACCACCACAACCACCACATCGCCCCCACGAACACCACCACCACCGCAACATCCCACCAGAAAAAATCCCCAATCTGCCACTAGACTCTACCACCATCCCACCGCCCATATCAACAACCAACACCACTAGTATCATCACCTCCACTCAACCACAACACCACCACAAACACATCACCACCACAGTAACAACCATCACAAACAATTGCTGCCAACCAGGGCTCGCCGCTCACTGCAGAGTTCTGCGGCGACCAAATCACTGCCGTGCACATCTCAATTCCCCACCATCACCCACCATCACCGATCTGTGAAGAACACACCATCACCGATCTGCTCCACAACGAACACACCATCCGGATCTGCTTCATCATCTCGCACGGTGCGATTCTGAAGAGAGAAGGGAGGGAGGCGACTGGAGAGATGAAGAGATAGAAAGAGACGGGTTGTGGGATAGTGTAGAGAAAGGGTTGGAATTAATTGGGATTTGAAATAATAATTGAAATAAAAATTCTGATTTTTGAAATGTTAAACTTCTCCTCTGAATTTAGAATTCATGATTTTAATCCTAGGGTTTTTTGTAATTTCCACTTAATTAAATATTTGGATTGGCTTATGTTTAATGGGCAAGGCAAGCCCACTTAAACATCCGTAAACAAATAATTAGGGTACATTTAGTTTGCTGCTTTCAAGTTTTTTTCAGTTTTCAATTTTATAAAACACTGAAAACGTGTTTGATCAAATATTTCTAAAAATACATTTTCGAAAATAAGGTTAAACTTATAACATAAAACTGAAAATGTATTTTTGACGTTTTGAGTGTTTAATAGTTCAAACTCCTAATGATTATTTACATAAAGGTTCTTAAAAAATATTTATATAAACACAAATAAAAATATTCACAGTCCATGTTATTCATTTTTATTTCCTATATTTTGAACTGAATTTATTTTTAGTTTTTATTTATTTTTGTAGTGAGAAAAAAATTGTAATATTCACCAACTTTAAAAACAAAAACAAAAACCAAACATGCCCTTGAGGTTTCAGTTTTAACAAGTTATCACATTAGCAATTAATATTACAATTACAACTTAACATATCTCAAAATATTATAATCTTGCTATAGAACAAAAAAGAGAAACTCTAATCTCTCATTCTTTTTCTCCTATATGTGGAGGTTGGACAACTGGATAGCTGTAGTGTGAAAAAAAATTGTGATTCACAAAGGCTTGCAAAGGTCGCGATGTTTGTGATTAAGATTCTCAAAAGAGTTTGGAGAATTTACGGAAGGTATAAATTAATTACGATTGCTGACTAAACACAAAGAAGATATTTGAAGAGAATTAAAACTATTTTTAAATTTCATTGAGTAAGATTAAGTAAATTTTCAACACCATGCACTAAATTCACAATAATTAATTTTAGAATTTGTAAGATTTATGGTCAAACATTAAAAGACACTAACAATGGTAGTTATTAAGTTGAATTTTTCAAAATGATACTTCCAAGAATTGAGGTTGTAAGAAAGTTAAAGTCTTTATTACTGTTTTAATTATCATATATAGTAAATCTATACAACTTAGTTTAATAAAGTGGAGTAATAATGACGGTTTTGATATTTGTACACCGAGCCACACAGTTCTATATACAGCCCCCTTAAAATAGGGGTCCACATCCAATAAAAAAAATCATAAGCCCTTCTATTGTGAGGGGCTATACGCCGAACTGTGTAACAAAACCCTAATAATGAATGTTTATTGACTCGTCTTAACAAAGTGCAATCAAATATTTAAAGTGAAAATTTTGTTTTCTTGCCAAGTATATATGTCAAAAGGGAATTTGGTCACTAACATTATTGTATTAATTTAATATTTGCTCTTAGCCACCACCCACCGCCAAAAGAATTTATTGGGCAAAAATCATTATTTTCACAAAGTGCATTTTGATTATCAGTTTCGATCATTTAACTCCAACTGAATCTGAGTGGTGAAAAATAATTTGTATAGTCCACCTTATTTTCGAACACTCAAGTGCATGTCCTAAAACTTGTTTTTTTTTTTTTAATGAATCTTTTGCCTTCAGCTTTCGTCGACCTCATTTTAGTCCTAGCTCGAAGTGGCCTTTGTACATATACATCAAAAGTTACATAATGCACAATTGATATTATGTAATTGTTGTAACCCTTGATGTAATATTTGATATACAAATAGAATAATCCGCCCGAGATTGACTCTCCACAATGTTTGAATATGTATTAGAGATTTATTATAACTCGAAAAGAGTTTTGCGGTACACGAGAATGCAATAATATAAAGAGGTATATGCGCACTTGAACAAGAGGAATAATAAGAGAAGACACCAAATGAACTTTCAAAGATACGTTTCAAAAGAAGTAATTATCCTTGTCTGGTAACCTTTAATCCTCAGTCTTTGGGAACCAGAAAATGAGAATAGGATACCGAGTCTCCCTCTCTAAATGCCAATTATTTGTTCTAAAAAAAAGTGACTTAATTGACTAATAATTGATAGGTTTTGATACTTACTATAATTTAGGGAATTAATTATGGATAATGGAACCCTATTCTGTTCTGATAAAAGGATGGACCAGAAGCCATGGAAGTGCTACTTAACAGAGACTGATTGAAAATTTTAATTTGTAACTCACTTTTTTAACATATATATAATGCTAGGAATTGATCAAAGAATGGAACACAACACTCTATTTCCTTTCTGTCTACATATCCTTAGTGAAGTTTCCACTTTGATCAAAGGAGGAGAGAGAGACTAAAGAGTGAGAGTAAGAAACTTTGAATCCCCTTTTCTTTTGTCGTTTTTCTTAACATTTTTCACTTTCCTTTAGCATTTTGAAATTACTTAATTACAACCGGGCGTTTAGTGTATTTTAAAAAAAAATTGTTACTGTTATTTCTATGTTTTCATCGTTGAAATTTGGACATTAAATATAAACACGTCCTTGCTTACGTGAACGTAACACTGTCAAATGGCGAATGACCATAGCATTGACCTAACGACGAGAAGGTAGATAGGTAGGGAAGTAGGGTGGTGTATTTTTTGCATATCGAATTGATAAGTGGAGCCAATATCTCTATGATCTACACGCTTTAAAGTAGTGGGAACGTTTGACACAACGTATAGGTTCTGTTTGGTATACAGCACCATGTAAGACAATGAGCAAGATTTTAACTTTTTTATTTTTATTTTTTATTTTTTTATTTTTAATGTAATGGACGTCCCATTAATTGTGACTTGACCAAATATACTTGCATGCCTTTTCTAATATGTTTCTCTCCTTATATATAGCCTGCCATGGCTTCTTACAAAGTGCACATTCGTCCCACTGAATCTGAAGAGCATTAACCTTTTCCTTCTGCTCATCAGATTATATAATTTCATCTAATTTTTTCGTTTTTTCTTAATTTGTTTGAATCAAGATGAGTGCAGACAAGAGCCATAACCACCACCAAATCTTTGATGTCTCCATCAACGTACATCCTCAGATTGGTTCCAAGTGTTTTGACGATGATGACCGCCTCAAACGAACCGGTATTTTTCTTTACTTACTCCTGTTAAGAAATATGAATTGAACGTGCATGTTTGGTATTCGATACTAGACAAAGACTTGATGGTATAAAAGAATAAAGATTTATCTTTGTTTTTGACTGAATTTTCTCGTATCATATTTTTCTGATAGGAACTGTTTGGACCGCAAGCGCTCACATAATAACTGCTGTAATTGGTTCTGGAGTTCTGTCTTTGGCTTGGGCTACTGCACAGCTTGGATGGATAGCTGGTCCAACTGTGATGCTCTTATTCTCATTTGTAACATACTACACTTCTACTCTGCTGGCAGCATGTTACCGGTCCGATATCGGGCAAAGAAATTACACTTATATGGATGCTGTCCGAGCCAACCTCGGTAAAAAAATTTCGTATACTTGAACTTTAGGTTAAAAAAGGATTCATATAGCCGACCCCATCATTATCGGGAATATGACACTTTTTTTTTCCGGAATTTCAGGAGGATTCCAGGTTAAAGTTTGTGGAGCAATTCAGTACTTGAATCTTTTCGGAGTGGCTATTGGTTACACGATTGCGGCGTCTATAAGTATGATGTAAGTATGAATGTGAAAGTACTATACGTACATCTTTTAGTGCATGTTTGATACTCGACAATATAATAAATAAGATTTTTCTTAAAAAAATTTTAACAGGGCAGTTGAAAGGTCTAATTGTTTCCATTCAAAAGGAGACAGCAGTCCTTGTGGAGTTTCAAGCAATCCTTATATGATTGCATTTGGTGTTATGGAAATAATTTTCTCCCAAATCCCAGACTTTGATCAAATATGGTGGCTTTCTATTGTTGCTGCAGTCATGTCCTTTACTTACTCGACCATTGGTTTAGGCCTCGGAATTGCAAAAGTTGCAGGTAAGGAAAGAACCCCAGCTGGCTTAAAAGTTTTTCCTCGTTTATATGGCACGTTTGATATGCTGATTCAGACAGAGTTAAAGAAGAAATCTTGTTCGTTTTTCCATAAATGTCTCGATTCTTTGTTTTGTGCAGAAACTGGGAAAATTAGGGGAAGTTTAACTGGAATAAGCATAGGCACAGTGACTGAAATGGACAAGATATGGAGAAGTTTTCAAGCACTTGGAGCCATAGCTTTTGCTTATTCTTACTCCCTTATCCTTATTGAAATTCAGGTACTTTTTTAGCCCTTTTTTCACCTCTATCAGTTAAAATCTTGTCTATTTTTACGTCCTATATGGATTGATCTTGATTCGATTCGATCATATAAAACAGGATACAATAAAATCCCCACCATCAGAATACAAGACAATGAAAAAGGCCACTCGATTGAGTGTAGCAGTAACAACAATTTTCTATATGTTCTGTGGCTGTTTTGGCTATGCAGCATTTGGAGACCTTTCCCCTGGAAATCTCCTTACTGGTTTCGGCTTCTACAATCCCTACTGGCTACTCGATATAGCCAACGCCGCCATAGTCATCCACCTTATAGGTGCATACCAAGTCTACTGCCAACCACTTTTCGCCTTTGTCGAAAAAACATCAGAAGAATGGTTCCCACATAGCACATTCATCACAAAGGAAATCGACGTCACTATCCCGGGATACAGCCCTTATAAACTCAACCTTTTTCGACTAGTTTGGAGGACGATTTTTGTGCTCTTAACCACTCTAATCTCCATGCTGATGCCATTTTTCAATGACATCGTGGGGATTCTAGGTGCCTTCGGGTTTTGGCCTTTAACAGTATACTTCCCTGTGGAAATGTACATTGTACAAAAGAAGATAGAAAAATGGAGCACAAAATGGATATGCCTACAAATATTAAGTGTTACTTGCCTTGTTATCTCCCTTGCAGCTGCTGTTGGTTCCTTCGCCGGCGTCGCTTCTGATCTCAAAGCTTACAAGCCTTTCAAGACTAGTTATTGATTTGGTTCATCTCAGGATTGTAAAATCAAGAAATTTATGAAAATTAGGTTTTCATTCTTGTTCATGTTCATGTTCATAAAAGGCACAAAAGGGTTACTTGTGCCTTTGTTTTTAATTCATGAGTGTAAGTGTAATCTCAAATGAATATCACTGTAACCATAGGGAAAGAAAAGAGGCAAGTATATGTAAGTATATTGTTATCTGGAATCAAAAATCTTATTTTCCCAATTGTGCAAGTTTGCCAATCTCTATTAGGCTAAGATGTTAGACGAGGTGATCAATTCGAAATGGTATGAAATTTTTTACTGCCTCTCATTTATGAATCCCATTTAATTCTTTTTATCTTGGAATAGCTATAACTTATAAATAAAGTGATTATTTAAACTTAATACACATCTACTTCTTGACCAGTTACCAAGGTGACAATGTCTTATAAAAAGCATGTATTTAAGACTTCCCCCCTTATAATTGGCAGATTTTGGGCCTAGTAATGTCAACTCTTAATCTCTTCTGGTTTCTCAAGATGGAATTCAGTAGAAAATTTGCTACCCTTATAGTAGGATGGTCATTGAAAGTTGACGTGGGGGTCGTTAGTCTTGCATTTTCTTCTTTCTGTTAAGATTTGGGGTTCCATCTTGAAAGGTCAACCTTGTTAAAAAGAGTAGTCAAATCCTTTATAAGTTAGTCTATATTTTCATCTTTAATCGATGTAAAATTTTATCCCTTAACATGCTCCCGCAAGATACTGGCTCGTTTTGTGCAGACCAATCTTGAAATTCGTATGCTCATTTATTGAGTTTTAATCGGATCAAATTACTCGTTGGGGTTTAATAGGTTCTGATACTATGTTAAAACTTGGGGTTCCATCTTAAAAAATCAATTTTATTAAGAATGGTAGTTTAAGACTTTATAGGTTAGTCTATATTTTTATTTTTATTCGATGTGGGATTATATCCCTTAACTTCGGATTCCATTTTAAAATATCAACCTTGTTAAGAGGAGTAGCTCAAAACCTTATAAATTGATATATGTTTTAATCTTTATTTGATGTGGGATTATATCTCTTAACATGCTCCCGCAAGATGATGACTTGTTTGAGCAGACCAATCTTGAAATTCATATGCTCATTTATTGAGTCTTAATCGGATCGAATCGCTCATTGAAGCTAATTGGGCTCTGATACCATATTAAGATTTGGGGTTCCATCTTAAAATGTCAACCTTATTAAGTGGAGTAGTCCAAAATCTTATAAGTTAATATATATTTTCATTGTTATTCGATGTGAAATTTTTATCCCTAAACACTGCCTGTATTATGAAGACCTGGCTTTACGCCCCTTCAAAATATCCTATAGTTTCTTATTCATTCTCGATAAGCTGGGAAGAGTCTGGAAAAATTCCCTCATTCTAGTGGTTTTATAAACGGGTACCTTCATAAAGACATAAACACCATTGAAAGTGCCCTATTTTTTATTTTTTTCTCCCTGACTGACCACTTAGGATAGACAACATGACTATCAATTTCCTGTCCAATCGATACGGTGGAATCAATAAATTAGTAACACCTCTACTCGTACGCAAATCATAGTACACAGGTATTATTAAAAAAAGGTTGAATCCAATCATGAGGGTCTCCACCGTCCCGCTTCTAGAACATCGCAAGGGAGGTAAATCATCGAATATGTTCCAATAGGCGAGAGAACAAGAGTTTACCCGTACACCAGGTATTATTTTTCGGAAGGATGCTAGGAATGAACCACTTTCTTGAACCAAGAAAGTCAGCCTTTCGTGCCCTCCAGGGCACATCCGAGTTGGTGGATCAATCACTTTGGCGGGCGCCAAACCTCAGCGTAGAGAGTTCGATTCCCAGGGGGAACATGTGGCCAATTAAATTGGTATGGAGCAATCACTGTGGCGGAGGGCTCTCTTGGGGCTAGGAGTTAAAATCGGATGGGAACCTGTGATCCAATGAGGACACATCCTGCGGTTTACCTCCTCGAGTCAATGTGGGGCCGGAGGCTCGAGGTCCAAGATTTAGTCCGACGAAACTGGGACACTTGGGTTATCAAAAAAAAAAAAAAAAAAGTCAGCCTTTGGCATCTATTGCCTCCACCACCCACCACCCATTACAATGATGGATGGAGAAAGAGAAGTATACAATCTCAAAAGACTAGTGGAATCAACGGGGGTGACTATCACCATCATCAATAAAAAGGATAAATCTTTTTCTATAAAAGAATCTTTTTTAGGACAAAATATGTTCTTGAAGTTATGGGTGGCCATGATTAAGAGTTTAATGGTGGAAGAATTTAAAATTCTCAATTATTTGATTCTTGGTTGAATTTCAAATTTGGAAGATAAGTTGAATTTTAATTTTTTACTAATCTTTTTATATATGAAAGTTGATGACCTCGTACATCATCTTTGAGTAGCTACGAGTAGTGACTAGAGTCGTGTTTTAATAAAGGCTGGTTATATATTTGACATATTTGATCTTAATCATGACAACATGTTTTGAAATTGATCATCTTTATAAAAATAAATGTGCACTTTCACATCTTCACAAAACTCTGGAAGCCAAAATCCATTTATTGAGTTGTAGAAAAATCTTTAAATTTTCTAACTCTTAAGCAATACGTCTTTAAAATTATATATGATATTAATACGGGTTTGTAGAAACTAGGTTGCTGAATTTTGTGAAGCCCAATTATTTGGGGTGGTACTAGTGAATTCGAGATTAATCCTAACGGAAGTTCAACGGAAACTAAACGTTAGAAACGATCACTGAACCATTGTGTTCCTTTACTTTAATTTTATTTTTCGTTCGTGATTTTTACTTTTAAACGTTGAGTCACAAAGCTTGAGTAAAATCTAGGACCAACAAGGTTTAATTTAGTTGTCACGTAGTATTAAAATATAATTTTTTGTACTCGATAAAATTTGAAAAACTCCCTATTTTTATAATTTCCTTGATTCTTATGAATATCCTAAAATATGGTCGTAGTGATCAATACATGATATGCAATCAAATTAAAAAAGTTGATGATCAAACCGAGTCTAAATTCAAAGTTTTGATACTCACACTATGATTATTATGTACACGTGGTAGTAGTGGCGGCGCCGCCGTGACCGGTTGTCTAAATTCAAAGTTTTGATACTCACACTATATCTAAATCTATTTATTCTTTTTAATGATAACCATTACCAAATCTGCAATCATGTATCAACTTGTTTAGAGGAAATTGGCTCGTTCAATTTGCTTGTTTGAGTTTGATAACACTGATATCATATTAAATCGTAAAAATTCCATTTTAAAACGTCGAACTTATAATATTTAATTGATATGAGAATCACCATTAATAATCAACACTATGTCTATCCCATTATGAATATTTTTAATTAGGATTGTTGAACATCGAAAACTTATTATACCCAAACATATTTTTCGCGACAATGTTTATTACTTTGAGTAAAAGATATATCAAAATTAATATAACTTCGAACCCACCCTATAAGCTTTTTTATATCACGTTATTTGATTCATCGTTGAATCTACTAAAAAGATAATGAATAAATTAACAAATTTAATTTGTATTTAATAACATGAAAATGTGTTATGCTGTAAATTATAGAGGATGGGATAAATTTAACGGAAAATTGCAGCATTGATCCCAAACCTTTGAGTTTTTTGTAGATATCACCTTACCTTCAGTTTGTACCACTAGTGGTCCTGCACCTTTGAAAAATTAGCACATGGAGTTCAATGAATGGATTCCATTGACCGTTAGTTGACTAAGAAAATTTGTTTCGACCAAATTTAAAGAGGCAAATGGTAAATTCCTCTTTATTACACATAAAATAAAAAAAGATAAAAATTAACAGGAAGATGAACTGTTTCATCTTCCTCAACCCCTCGTACCCCCACCATTCCCAAACCCCCATCCCCCAACATTACCCGCTAAATCAAAATAAAATCAATCTGTCCCCGCCGCCGCCTTCTTCCACAACTACCATCACTCGCCGCCGCAACATCTTCTTTACTTCATCAAAGATTCTAACTTTGCAATCTCGGCATCTAGATTTGATTCAAGTAAGATTTTCATGTCAAGCAAGCATTCATACCACACATCATAGTGCACTCTCCCATTTCATAATCCACGGGCAAACGCTCCCAAAAAAATCCGATTTTTTTCTCCACTTTGATTTCATTTCAAATCTCAATCATTTTCACCAAACCACTGTAATTATTCATTTTCTTGATGAGTTTTTATTTATGAGCCTTGATTTGTTGTTTGTCTTGGATTATAATTGATCTGGGAGCAGTAGCGGATCCCTGATTAGAGGCCAGCTAGGGCGATCATTAACCTTTGACCATTGACTGTCGGCAGTCAACGATTGTATTAGTAAGGTCTGTTTTACTAAATTATTTCTAAGGAGTTTACGAATTTCTTGCCTAATCCAATTTCATGCTTTACTGCCTAATATTAAATACTTTAGAAATAGAATATTAAAAATATCATTTCCAGGATATGCAATTTTAAAATCATACTAAAATACCATAGAAATTCACCTTGTGAAATCTAGCTAGTCTACTCCTTGTGCCATTTCTTGACATGAGATAATCCAACTAATATTTATTTCTGCAGTTTATTTTCTCATTAAACAAGCATAATATCTTTAGTTAGGGCTCTTGTGGCTTCTGCTCAGGAGAATTCCCAAGAATAAATAAACATGATTATTGGCATTTTACATTGAGAACACGAGATTTAAAGCTCAATTGCCCTTGAAATTGCATTGTATAAGAAAGTGCAAGTTACTTTATCAAGTTTCAAATGTTGATCTCTCCAGGCTGCCTTGAGGTGGAAATTCCATTATGAATTAGGCCAAATAAAAATGACACACCCTACAAAATCCAACAAATTTAATACACGAAACAATCCAAAGTCATTGAGGGTAATAGTTATCTTCAACAGTGTAAACAATATTTTATATTATTATAGATAACAAACCTTAACTTACACTATAAACAATTGATCAAAAGAATAATAAGATAATTCACAAATTCCTCAATTTATCATTCATCACAAATATCACAAATTCACATAGTAATTTGCATGCTAAATTCATCTCCAAGCCATTTGAAACCCCTGATTTTGTGTTCTTCTCAGCATCTGCTAAATGCTTAACTTTTTTCCCTAATTTTATGATAAATTCAATTAAATAATTTAG